AGTTAATACTGATATAGCTGAGAATGATGTGGATGATGATGTTAAAGCTGATGTAGTCGATATTCTACATTTTTTAAAGCGTTGCAAAGTATTAAAGTTTAAAGATGTATCAGAACTAGTTCTTTTGCCCTTTTTTTTATACATTGTGTTTCTAATTTAAGTGATAAAAATTATAAAAATAAGGAAAAAATTTTCTTTTTTTATATAAAAGAAATCTTTGTAAATAACATAACATAATAGTATTAAATATTAGAATAGCATAAATTAATGACAAACATAATAATTAACTTATTAACTGACACATTAACTGATTATCTCAATTAATTACATCATTTTGTAATAGAGATTTATTAGTACAACTAAATACTAAAATAAAATTAAGTAAATAATTTAAAAATACTTTTTTTTTTTCAGTATTAAGGTAACCTTTGTGGCTAGAAGCTTTTTATTAGATAATTAACAATGTTTACAATTATGATGAGGGTACAACTAGCCACATATACAACTTTTGGTTGTCTATTTTAAGTAGTCCGCCCAAGTTCTACACTAGCTACCATATTTGCAATTTAACTAGAAGATTACCTATTTAAGCACTCTGGCTTTTACAAGTGAGAATACGACTAGCCATACCTGCAATTTTTGATTGCTGATTTAAGTAGTCTGCCCAAGGTTTCACACTAGCTGCTATACCTGCAACCCAACTAGAGGATTACTTATTTAAACTCTCTGGTCACAACCAGCTCATTATTTCTTATTTAACCAAGGTATAACTTACTATTCATATACTAGATTTTGCGACATCTATAGATTTCACACCCTACCTAGGACTACTTTATCCTCAAGATAAACCTAACAGAGCAGTACATGTCCTACACATGTATTTATCTACATGTTTGGTAACTTTTTTCTAATCTAGTACTTGTTGTGTTGCCACCATCAAGTTCATGTCTCAAGCTATCTTTTAGGATACTGCCATAACCCAATCCATATCTCAAACTTCAACCTTCCTATTTTAGTAGTTGTTATGTACTCCTTGCCCTTGTATTTGAGTTCACACAACTCCAGCACCCACATTTGAACTTTTCTTCTTTTCTGAATTTTTTATCAGTCTCTTTCTTACTTCTAGCCAGCAACTTGGAAAGGTTAGTTCATCTAGACTTTAGGTGTCTATATGGTCTTCCTTCTCTTGGTATATGCTTCCAGAGCACATGTCCTTTTCCTCCAGTTTGGCACCCAGCAGTTCAGCTAGTATGTCCCCCTACTTAAGAACCTAATTGCTTGGTTCTCTGATCCCAGTTCCTAGTTCCAAATTTGATCCTTCTGTAGTATTGTTGAAGATCACACTACCTCCCATCTCGGGACTTGCCAAATAGGTTTTTGGTTCTTCAATATCTTAGATTTATTATACCAAGGCTCCTATTCTAGATGGTGTGACCGAGATTACAGATTTCTAGATCCTACCACTTGTCGAATAGCCATTAACTATATTACAGGGTTATTTTTCAAAAACATCATCTATGGGATTTAAACTCTAGATCTGCTTTCTGGGGGTGCGACAACTCTACTACTTCACTAAGTCACCACATCCTTATTTAAAAATACTTACTACAAACAATTATAATATTTAATATATATAAAGACATATTTATATTCTTATCTAATGTTTTATTGTGTTTTTTTGTTTTACTTGTCATTCTTAGCATACCTTTCACCTTCTAAATATATATAATCTTTTTCACTATAAAAATATGATGAAGTTCTATATAGAATAGTAGCATTTTTATCATCACCTTTGAGACTTATAAGCAATTATAGATTTTAGAAATAATGTATATGGAATAAAACTAACATATACAAAAAAAAAAAAAAAAATTAATATTTATTTAATAAAATATTAAAAATTTGTTCAACAAATTATTGTATAACTTAAAGTTCTTTGAAGAAATCGCCAGTTTTTCTATTTCAAATTGTTCAACAACTGCTATAATAGAATTATAATCTCTAGTATTAAATTCATCATATTGTATTAGATAGAATAATATAAATTTATTCTCTTTATCATGTAGGCAAAGAGCCTAAAAATCATAGAAAAAAATGTTAACTATATTGATATTTGTAAATATATCAATTATACTTAATCAATAGAAATTTATATCTTTCACTCACCTTTTCTCCAATATAATAGTTTACATTTTTGTCAACTTCAGTCCAATCAACTTTGTAAGTGTAATTATAATCTGCAATTGTTTCTGAACAAGCTGATTTTAATATAAATAATTTTCTCTAGATCTGAAAAATATTGTAATTAATAATTATTAATAATGTTTTAAATAATAAAAATTTTTAACTTACTAGCTACACTACAAGATTATTTAACAAATCCAAGAAAAGATATGGAAACCTGGTAGACAAAAACCCCACACAACAACTCCACTCAATCCAATACTTATACCTCAAGAACTAATCAATTATAATCA